TAGTTGCTTCGTACGGTACGAAAGAACAAGGAGATTGTACCCGAGCTTTGTGTTCATTGGTCGTCTCGGCTTGTTCGTGCTAGTTGCTTCGTACTGTTCTTTGCTTGATAATTTTTTATTTACTCTCTTGCGTGTTGTGCTTGCTTTCCGGTTAATATGGGTGTCAATCAATATGGCATGCTTCCATTTAACGGAAAGACAGATTTTGATATCTGGAAACAGAAAATCAAATGCGTGTTGATCCAACAGAAAGTCTATAGAGCAGTGACTGGTCTCTATTTAGACTCTGAGGATGCTGCTAAGCGCGATGAAATGAATGAAACTGCTTGTTCCTCTATATACCTGAACCTTTCTGATTCAGTACTCAGGAAGGTGGGTATTATAGATTCTGCAAAGGCTTTGTGGGACAAGTTAGATAAGACGTATACCGATACTTCTTTGCCTGGTAAATTGTTTTTGCTTGAGAAGTTCTTTAGATTTAGGCTTGACCTGTCTAAGGATATAGATGAGAACCTAGATGTGTTTAACAAGCTTATTCAGAATATTAAGCAAGCCGGTGATAAACACATAGATGACTACACACCCATAGTGTTACTTAATGCCATCCCTGACTCATACAATGACGTCAAATCTGCCATAAAGTATGGTAGAGATGATATCTCGTTGGATGTAGTCATTAATGGATTAAGGAGTAAGGAGTTAGACCTTAGACACTCGAGGGGTAGTAACAGTCAGTCTAGGGACTCAGGTGAAGCGTTGTTTGTGAGGGGTAGGTCTAAGAGTAGATCTAGAAACCATAAGAAGGGCAACAACGATAAGAACAAAAACAATGACCCGGGGAAGAAGAGAGGTAAGTCTAAGAAGAGAGTGTGCTATAATTGCGGTAATTCTAGTCACTTCATTAAGGATTGTCCCCATCCGAAGAAGTCTGAACATGCTAATGTGGTAGATGATAATAACTTGCATGAAGAAGTTTTTATGATTTGTGATTCTGCCAATTCTGTGTTGAGTAGCATGACTGAAAATGAGTGGTTGATTGACTCTGGTTGTACTTATCATATGACACCTTTTAGATCCTTGTTTGCTTCTTATGATTCTTGCAATGATGGTTTTGTGTCTCTTGCTGATAATAAGAAATGCAAAATACATGGGGTGGGTGATGTATGTTTGAAGTTTGATAATGGGACTGTGTTTACTATGAAAAATGTGAGGCATGTTCCTGATTTGCGTCATAACTTGTTTTCTGTCGCTGCTTTTGAGGGTAGTGGATTAGAGGGTAAATGGGGTAATGGGTGCATGAAAGTTTTGAAAAATTCCCTTGTTTTGTTTAAGGCAAAAAAGGTGAATAACTTGTATGTGTGCCATGCTCAGCCTTTCTGTGATTCTGCTCATGTTGTTAGTTCTGATAAATCTGCTTTGTGGCATAATAGATTAGGACACATGAGTAATATGGGTTTAGAGATTTTGCATAAATCTGGTTGTTTTGGTAAGGATTCTGTGTCCCCCATCCCCTTTTGTGAATCTTGTGTGTTAGGCAAGCAGCATAAGGTTACATTTCCCTCCTCCCCATATCCTAATCCTACTAAGTGTACCTCTGTGTTAGAGTATGTTCATGCTGATGTGTGGGGTCCTGCTAGTGTCTCTACCCACGGGGGTAAGAGATATTTTCTGTCCATCATTGATGATTTTTCTAGGAAGGTGTGGGTCCGTCTCCTTGAGCATAAGTCCAATGTCTTTGTGAAGTTTAGGGAGTGGAAAACCTTGTAGAAAATCAAACTGGTAAGAAGGTCAAAACCCTTAGGACAGATAATGGTCTAGAGTTTTGCAATAAGGACATGGACCAACTGTGTGTTGATTGTGGGATTAGAAGGCACAAAACTGTGCCCTATACTCCCCAACAAAATGGGATAGCCGAGAGGATGAATAGGACTGTTCTAGATAAGGTTAGGAGTATGCTTGCCACCGCCGGTTTGTCTAAAAAGTTTTGGGGTGAAGCAGTTAACACTGCTGTCTACTTGATTAACCGGTCTCCTTCTGTTCCCTTGGGTGGGAAGTGCCCTGAATCTGTTTTTTCAAACAAACCCCTTGATTTGTCTAATCTTAGAGTGTTTGGGTGTGCAGCGTATGTGCACCAACAAGGTGACAAGTTGGATCCTAGGTCTAAGAAAGGAGTCTTCCTAGGTTATCCCGAGGGTGTGAAGGGGTATAGGGTTTGGGATAGGAACCAGGTAGGTTTCAAAGTTGTGGTGAGTAGAAACGTTGTTTTCAATGAATCCGAGTTTCCTTGTCTGGTTAAGTCAGTTCCTGATTCTGAGTCTGATCCTAGTAGTACACCCGTTGAGGTGGAGTCCATACCACGTGCTGCTAGCCCTTTGTTTGCTAATCATGATAATGTTGTTTTGCATGATTCTAATTCTTCTGAATTGCATGATTCTGATTCTTCTGAGCATGATACTACCACCACTTCGAGTGAGGTGGAGCATTCTCATGTGCATTCAAATGACAATGAATCGCATCATGAGAGTGCGGATGCTAGTGAGAATGATTTGCATGATTATCAACTTGCTAGAGATAGAAGTAGGAGAGTAATTAGGAGAACTGCTGATAGTATGCCTGATTATGCTTTCCATATGTGTGATACTTCTATGTTTGCTTTCTCTGTGTTTGAGACCCTTGAGCTTAACGAACCTAGAACCTATAGAGAGGCCCTTAAGTCTAATGAGTCCGCTAAATGGCTTTGCGCCATGGAAAGTGAGATGGAGTCACTTAGAGCGAATAAGACTTGGACGTTAGTTCCTAGACCGCCCAATAGTTCCGTTGTTGCCTGTAAGTGGCTATTTAAGGTTAAGGAAGAGCCTAACGACATTAGATATAAGGCTAGGTTAGTAGCTAAGGGATTTACTCAAAAGGAAGGTGTTGATTATGCTGAAATCTTTGCTCCTGTAGTTAAATTTACTACGATTAGAATGATGCTTGCTCTTGTTGCTCATAATGATTGGGAAATGAAGCAAATGGACGTCACCACTGCATTCTTGCATGGTGATTTAGATAAGAAAATCTATATGTCGCAGCCTGAGGGCTTTGTGGATCCCATGAAGAGTGATCATGTGTGTTTGCTTAGGAAGGCCTTGTACGGCCTGAAGCAGTCCCCGAGGCAGTGGAATATCAAATTTGACCAGTGCATGTCATCTTTGAAATTTCACAAGTCCGAATGCGACCATTGCCTATACTTTAAAAATACTTCCTCTGTGCCTGTATTTTTATTGCTATATGTGGATGATATGCTTATTGTGAGTCCTTCGGGTGACGCCATTAAATGTGTGCAAAAGCGTCTCAGTGAGAACTTTGCTATGAAAGACCTAGGTGATGCCAAAAGGATCCTAGGGATTAACATTGTTAGGGATAGGAGTAAGCGTGTGTTAGTTCTCAATCAGATTTCATACATTGAAAAGATTTTGAGTAAATATAACATGCATTCTGCTACTCCCGTTTCTATCCCGATGGCGTCTCACTTTGTGTTAAGTAAGGATCAGTCTCCTAAGACTGCTCCTGAAATTGCTAAAATGAAATCTGTGCATTATTCCAATGCTATTGGGTCCGTGATGTATCTCATGGTGAGTACTAGACCCGACATTGCCTATGCTGTTAGTTGCTTGAGTAGGTATATGTCTAATCCCGGTTTAGATCATTGGAATGCTCTTAAGTGGTTGCTTAGGTATTTGAAATCTACTGTTAATCATGGGTTGGTTTTCACTAGGTGTTCTGAGGGGGTTAAGTTGAGTGGGTATGTGGATTCGAATTTTGCTAACGATAGAGACAATAGGAAATCCACTACCTCTTATGTGTTTACTCTTTGTGGGTCGTGCATTAGTTGGAAGTCTCAGCTTCAACCCATAGTAGCCCTTTCCACCACTGAGTCTGAGTATGTGGCCGCTACCGAAGCGTTTAAGGAAGCCATTTGGCTTAAACGTCTCCTAACGGAGATTGGTAGCCTTAAGCAGGATATTTGTGTGTTTTCTGATAGTCAATCTGCTATTCAATTGTGTAAAAACCCTGTTTTTCATGATAGAACTAAGCATATTGATGTTAGATTTCATTTTATACGTGATATTGTGAGTGCAGGTCATATCAAGTTGATTAAAATTCCATCGGAATTTAATCCTGCTGACATGGGGACTAAATGTCTCTCGGTCGAAAAGTTGCTGTCGTGCAAACGCACGTTAAACATTGATTGCGGATAAGTTGCCCGGTGATGTTACCCCTTTTGCCTGAATATGTCTTTGTGATTATTCGGGCAATCCAGCGATGATGAGTCTCATGTTGCTTTAGAGTTTTGCGCTCTACACCACTAAGGTCCAATAAGGTGGAGATTGTGTTGGTATTGGTCCTTGTTTTTTCTAAGCCCAAACACTTGTGGTTTGTTAGTCGGCCCATTATTCCTATCGATCCACCCGCACCGCTTGCCTTGATCGGCTTTCTCCCATGAACGATTATTTCCTTCCTCCGCGCGATACTCTGCTAATCTTCCTAAGGTAAGTTTCCATCTATGAGTGTTGTGCTTTGCCTATATATCTGTTCTCTTCTCTATCGATGAGGCTGGCCGAAATTTCTCTTCCCCAATTACAACCCTAAAATACTCCTCTGTGGAATACCCGTAGTGGTTGGCCGGATAACTTGTGGTTGCTGCCCCCTTCTCCATTTGTTGACCTTGGTGGTGATTTTAGCATCCTTTGTGGGTGATAAATCGAGACCTGAGCTGGAAGAGTAGTCACATAACAAAAAGTACTGAATATATGTTGTAGACACATATATTACCTCGTTGGGTCATTCTTTTTGCACACAAAATTTGTACGTAAATGTACATTGCACACATACACAAATAATTGACAAATACGTAGTAATTACTAATTTTTAAGCGAATTACCTGTGCACACAGACGAATAGAATGTGTGTACAATTTGTATAATAATTTTGTGTACAAAATGCAATTTTCCTACCTCCTTTGACGAAAAAATTGGTGTGAATGTAGAGATATGCTTCTTACCAAACTTAGATTCTTTTTTAGCTTTGTGAATAGATTCGTTTTTTATTGATGGGAATATGAGATTGGCTTCTATAGTTCTGTAGTTATCTATTATCAACAAAGTTCAATAAGGTGATAAACAAAAGTATCTTTAGTTTGTACAAGTAATAATGGTTTTCGGCCTATCACCCTTTTTCTTAAATTTTTGAAAAGAATTCTCGAATACCAAAGAAGACCTATATATCAACTTCTTTGAAGAGAAAAGCGGAAAGAAACCCTTTTTCTCTCTAGCCTCTAGCTAATAGCAAAACCCTTGAATCCTTGATAGATCTTCTCTTATTTCATATGAACTTATGAAGAGAAATTATTCTTACTAATCAGTTCAAGGCTAGGAAAAGTCAAAACGTCAAACGTGGTGTTCGATCTATAAGGGAGGGAAGGTGGATAAGAGGCATGGAAAGCGACCACTTCCGGTGGAAGCGCCGCCGCAGGAGAAAAGCGGCGAGTTCCAATCTTACCCCGCCGCCACCGGTAGCTCTTCCATGTTCTCCGGCTACGCAGGGACAATTGCCGCTGCTATACCATCGCCTACTCCGGCTGCCGCCACCACTCAAGCGCAGGTACGAGGTTAGTATATCTTTTTTTCATTTATTTATTTTGGGAACAAAAAGATTGGATCTCAGATCAAATAGGACAAAATAAGTAAGGGTATTAATATCATGAATCATATCCATATCTATTTATCTATCTATTTATCATACTTTTTTTTATGGAAGTCTATTTGTCATACTAAAATTAAAGAAGTAGCAAGACATCTCCTCCATATTTTATTTGTATTTATATATTTATATATTTTTGTATTTATTGTTCTGGATGCGTGTTGACCTTTCTTTATCTTCATATAATCCGTATATTGATTTTTTATTATTGTTTTAGTTCTTATATACTACTCCGTACGATTGAAATTTCAAGAACAGGACCCCATTTTTTTTTAAAACTGTGTGCGTTTAAATTATGTGCGTTGTACGGTTCTTTTAAAACTAAATGAGAATTAATATTTTAGTTTATAAAATCACCTATATTTTATTCATATTTGCGTTGATGTGCGAGAGTAGACCTGTACAAAAGCGGGTTCGGGCCGGGCTTTCCATAAATTTTATGCCCATCGTGTGTGGGCGGGCCCGGCCCGGCCCGCAAAAACGGGCCTAACCCCATGTCCATACCCGCCCATAAGAGCGGGCCGGGTAGTCCACCGGGCCGCCGGGCCCGTTAAAACTTTAAATTTTTCAAAATTATATAATTTATTTAATACTTTATAAATAATATTAAAACATTTAAAAAATTGCTAATACACTTATAATGTATATAATGTATATAGGCCTTTCATCACATACACAAAAAATATTTACACAAAAATAATAATGAGAAATTATATCTAAAATTTAAAATTCAAGCACAAAGTATTATCTTTAAGTACAAAAATAGATATTATATTGGATGGACTATTTGTTAAGAACTAAAACTTAAATTTAAACATAATAAACTATAAATATGTATATAGATAAATTAGTAAATATGAAAATATACAAGTGTACATGTAAATAAATACATAAATTAGTATATATAAAAAATATATGTGTATATATACTAAATGTAGCGGGCCGGGCTTATCGGCCCGAACGGGCCTACACCCTAACCCAAGCCCGCCCATATGTTGTTGCGGGCCGGGCCCGGGCCGGGCCGGTGGGTAAATATATGTGCCCAAGCCCGCTAATTTTTGTGGGCGGGCTGGGCGGGCCGGGCGGGCCGGCCCGGTTTTGTACAGGTCTATGCGAGACTTTATTCTAAATTTGGAAACATAAGATATGTTTATTTTTTTGGTTTTTGCACCTATCCTTTTAAGAAATAACCAAAATTTTACCCCGTACTTAATAAAACACTAAACAAAAACATACAGTACAAAATTAGCAAAATACAGCACAACTTTATATTATTGCTAAGTATTACGGAGTGATTAAATTCATAAATAAAAATAATAGTTACTTTTAACGAGATTCATAACAAGCTAATATTGTTAAAAAAAATCTCCTACGCCTTAAATATACTTTACGTTTATCAAAATATAGATACATAAAACTAATAACATTCATTACTTAAAAAATAAGAATAATAATAATAAATTATTCAGTCTATATAAATAAATATCAAGTCTTATACTCCGTATTTTATTAATTAAAGTTTTAATTCTTCAAGTCAAAATTAAAATTTTGGAAGCTAAGACAATTCTTAATTATATGTATTAATATAAATATGTTACATAAATTATAAAATATTTCCGAAGAGAAAATTATCATTGATTATGTTGCATTATTTTTTTTACAATTTCGGGCACTAATGATGAACCCTGATATCTAATTCGCTAGTTATTGATATTCCATTAGGGTTTTGCAAAAGCCAATACCTTTGAAATAACAATGACATTAATCAAGGATACTTTTTAATTGTAATGATATCAAACAGGATCAAATCACATTTAAACAATACTAAAGTACACATGGATTAGAAAATTATAAAATTAGATCTGATTTAAATAGATCAGATCAGACTTAAAATTTCAATACAATTAAAATAAGCATCTCAATGTTTGCGTGAATGACATTTCTGGTACTCAATTTTGAATTTTTTCCATTTTCTGTTTTTTGACTATGGTGCCAAAGAAACTTTTTGATTCTGTCTTTCAATATTTTCATACGGAGTATTTAGTATTTTAGTTTTCATAAAAGTGTTACGTTTGACCCTTCAACTACGAGTATTATATATTGATATTTTTAGTCTTCCATTACTATGAAAAAAATCATACGGAGTATATAGTAGAAGGATGTAATATATCAAGTTGACAATACTAAGGGGACTAAATGTGAGTGATTTTGAAGTCGGGAACTACAATTGTCTTTTCACAATATTTGAAGGACAAAATGAAAATTCAAACTTGAATAGTAAAAATAATGTCATCAACACTATAATTAGAGAACTAAAAATCTAATCAAAACTCTCAATATTTTGATTTAATTGTCATTTAAACATTTCAATGAATATCAATTATATTAAAAAGTTTGTATATTCAAGTATCATACATGAAAAATCAAAGTAATGGATAAAAATATGACTCAATGACTACCATAGTTGTGTTCAACTCTATCAATATTTTTGTCCTTTACCTATATTTTAATTATATTTATGAAAAAATCTTTATCATACATACAAACAACAGCATTCAAGCCTCAGTCCCAAAAGATATTGGGGTTGACTAACATGAATCGATACATGATATCGCCACCAAAAGGAAAAGAAAGAAAATAAAGATAAAAAAGACAAACTATTATGAAAAAGATAATATAAAAATAGATGAATAGATGAATAAAATAAAAGGATTAAAATAATGTTTATATACAAGGAAAAAAGGATTTAAAAAAAATAGATGAGGGGAAAAGATAATACGTGATCACTCCTCCACACGAATACCCGTCCTCCACTTTGCTTTCTCCAAAGTCATACCCTTATCTAACCCAAGAAGAACCATATCACTTCTAACCCAAATTTATCATGCATACTTAATTTTATTTCGTGTTAGTTGATTATATTTTCATGGAGGCATGGAGCTAATCCCCCTCCCCCAATAAAAATGAATAGTAGCCATATATTTGTATTTATATTTGTTGTCCTAGTAAGTGATTATTGCAACCATTGAGTCGTTATGTATTCAATGAATGATGGATATATATGTAGTGTTTGTTCCATTAAAAAAGAATCATGTTTGATTAATAAAAGCATTTTTATTTTTGATGAGGTGCAATCATTATTAACCGGGCCAGGGCATGTATTTTTGGGAATTCCATTTATCCTTCAATGATCCATCCCATTAGACTTTGCCAATTTTCTCTTTTTGCTTGTTCCAAAAAACTTTGTCACTTTCTTAAAAAAACAACTAATTTGTGGTTTCCCACATTTCTATTTCCTCTGCACAAATCTCAACAATACAGTTTTTACTATTTTTATTTATCACCTACTTTGTACTTGGCAAAGTCTACCGGGACGGAGGCAGTAATTGTTTATATTTTTTGAAATGTTTTCAAAAAGTGAGTACTCAAATTGTCATCAGACAAGGCCGAGAGTGTTAATTAATTATTTCGGTATGGTTATTCAGCTTTAAGTTTGTTTAGTCACTTAGTGTATATATCTGAGTGCCTATTATATAAGGAGTGGAGGGAGTGATAACAGAGATATTTTTAGCTTTATGTACCGAAAAAAGAAAGATAAGACCGTCTTAGTGGGATGTCCTGAAAAAAAAAAAAAAGAATAATCTTAACAGAGCGGAGGGAGTGATAGCAGAGATATTTTTAGCTTTATGTATATAACAAATATATATCAATATAGTAGTGAAAAGAATGAAGTTCCAAAATAAAAGTATTACTCCTATGATTTTTTCTTTTTCTATTCATGTTTGAAAGCAATTTCCAAACATTTTAATAGGTATTCGTATTAGGGTAAATACAGTATTTCATTTTTAAAATTATATTCTTTGCTTATTCTACTCATATTTAAGGTAATTTACAATTTTACTTACGTATTATTGATGTTATTATTATTCTTAGTAGTACAGTTTGGGTACCTCGTCCGTAAAGAGGTGTTATTTGATTGAGGTTCATTGCATGAGACTTAAGTTTCCGTAAAGAACCGTCTCTCTGTTTGTCTTATTATGGGGACAACTTTAGTTAAAATTATTATACAAATACTAATTTTGTTGTTTTGCAAAAAGAATGGTCATCTGTATTTTGAATTATTTATTAGAATTTCTCCTGGTTTTAAACCTTTTCGTAATGCCAAAATAGCTCGATTACCAGCTTTCCTAGTCGTTTTCCCACGTCTTAAAATTATATCCAAACTTATTATCAAACAAATGTCCCTTAATAATTGGTAGAGATAAACTTTCCTTATCACCAAGCGAACTTATAAATAAAGTAATCGGTCAATATTATAGACTTCATCATGTGCTCCATGTGAATGTCCATACTGTGTTCCGCTAACTTGTTTATTCTTTGACTTTGTTTATAGCGTTCATACTAGCTAGTTTCATTTGAACACCAATATTCTATTCAAATGATCGAAGCGATTATTTAAATCTTTCCTTACATAAATTAAAAGTATGTTAAACAAATTTATCATTATAATTGTGTGCATCATTAATCAAAGAATAGGTACACTCATCTACTTGACAGGATCCGGAGAGGGATGTATAATTATACTTATTTTGATGAAAAATGATGATCGAGGATTGAATTGAAGTAACTTAACTCACTAAGCTATAAGACACTATATCAAACTACACTTAAAGATTGCCTCCAATCGTTTAACTTTACTCATTTAAGATCTTATTGATTCATGTTATTGATTCATCATTTTACCCACTCTCAAGTGATCCAACAATGCTTAGTGCACACAAAGTGTACTTACTTTTCAGTATATTTTATCTGTAACACAAACATTTATAGCCTACACATTATTAGACAATTCGCCCTCGTGATATAGACAAAATGAACAAATAGCATTTTTGAAAGTGGTCGTATCACTTTTTATCCAACCGGTTTCCACTAATGCAGGGATGTAGTATATTTGTGCCATGTGTGTAAAAATGTGTGTTAAATTATCGATATTATTTAATACGTAACAATTCATAACTTCTAGAGAAGATATCTTTAAAAAAAACTTCTAGAGAAGATACCAATAAGATGTAAAAGGAAATGTTTCGACAAGCAGTAAAGACACTACTTTCAAAATAAGGTGGATGCAATTCTTTTGAATGTGAATTCATATGGTAATATATACGGAGTACTTCGTACTACGTACTCCGTATCTAGTTTCTAACACCAAGGTTTTATAATAGTATGCGTTAATCAATACATAAATATGAAAAGACATGACATATATACACAAGACATACACATGAAATAATGATACTACGTAAAAGAATACTATGATATACTCCTATAAAAGGAAGGTAGATTCTATGGTATTCAAAAGGTACCATACCTTTGTCTACATGGACCAATCAGAATATTGCAGTTGAATTATTTAAGTCTAAATTAAAAATGATATATCTACTTGAACCAATTAAGAGAATGATATGTACGTTACCCCATTTTTTAAATGGGTATCGGAGTTCTCACCTAAAAGTAATATACGTACCAAAACTAGCATACTTAATTAATTCACAATTATCGCATTAGTCTACGTGTAGTGAGTATGGTGTCTATGAAGACTATGATGATGTTCTAATATTTATTTGGCTTGTGTATTATTGAAGGAAATGCAAGACCACATTATAGAGGGGTAAGGCAGAGGCCATGGGGGAAATGGGCAGCTGAAATAAGGGACCCTAAGAAGGCGGCGCGTGTTTGGCTCGGAACATTTGACACGGCTGAGGATGCCGCACTAGCATACGATCAAGCCGCTCTCAAATTCAAAGGCACCAAGGCTAAGCTCAACTTCCCCCAAAGGGTTCAAGGCAAGTCCAAAGTATGCTTCATCAGCCCTGGCAGCGGAAGCGGAGGAGCTTCCTCCGCCTCCACTCCTCAAATCCCTAGCGGCAACCAACAGCTGCCGATGACGATGTCATCACAGCAGCAGGATGGCGCTTACCCTTATCTCCAACAATACGCTCAGCTTCTTTCCAGCTCTGATGCGGAATTCCCTTACTTGACTTCAGCTCTCTACAATCAAGCTACCTTAATGCAGCCATCGGGACTCTCTCCTCCTCCAACTGCGGCAGAGCCGCCTCATGCGCCGCTGCAGCGACAAATGCAAGATCAATATTACTCACAGTATTTTGCCCAGTTCGAGAGCATTCAGGACTCTGAGTATCAAAGTTATGGTGGCATGGGTTTTAACTATGCAAACAACCCAAATGAGAATATAGACTAAAGTTGAAAACGAGCTAAGCCTTTTGTTTTTTTTGCAAGAGTGTATTTATTGTAATTCACAGCAATTAGCAAGCTCAGGCTTGCAATGCACGATTCGGATGGCTTGTTTACAGTTTACTGTCGGAATGGATACGATACTCAATACAAAAATGCTATACGTACACACCCCCTTACCCCCTTTATATACCCATTTAAATTTTTAAAAAAAAATTCCCTCACCCCACGTGCCTAGACTAAGTCGGTTTGCTCCCTTTCACAGACAATGCAGTTCGATTATTCTGTCTCTTTGTTTGGCAGGTTCCTACTCGTTTTTCTCCTTTCTTTAAACAGACAAGGGAGGTAAGTGACGGTCTTCACCTTTAATGGAGCTGGATGCTTCAAACATGTGTGAACCGATGGGGGAAGTAAGTCCCGAAGACGGCTTAGTTGGTAGTGACGTGCCGGTGGTCGGTGATGGAGACGGCGTAGTGGGTAGTGACGCGCCAGTGGCCGACGATGGAGAAGAACACAACCAAGAGTATATGGACATCGTTGATGAGCAAGGTAGTTTTGCTTACGTTTTCATTCTTATTGTATTTGATTCAAGATGAGTTCATGATGTGTACTGTACTGTAGAAGGGTTTTTCATCACAAAGACAACTACTAAATGCAGTCCTTGTGCCTTTTAAGTTTGTTAAAGATGCCATGTTGAAGTTCAATATAAGTCATTTGTCTGTGTGTAGACAACTACTATTCGTATTGACTGAAAATTATGTGGGTATGTATTGTGTGTAAACAATTTTGTATTCATTTTGTGGAAGAGTTTATTGTTGATGTTATCACATTTGAAGTTGTTTAATTTGTTTTATTGAAGTTAAACCTTTGTCTGTATACACAATACTGTCTGTTTCAACATCATCGCATCTGTATGTGCATTATATTGTCTGCATGGGTCGTTATTGTCTGCATTGACACTTTTTTTGATGGCATGAACACTTTTATTTTCTGCATGGACACATTTTCGTTGACAATTAATTAATAACAAATTTAGGAGGGCATGCTAAGGAAGGAGATGTTGGGTGTGTACAAGCACCCGAAGTTGGCATGAAGTTTGATACAATAGAAGTTGTTTATGATTTTTACAAGATATATGGTAGGAGTTTAGGATTTCCGGTACGCAAAAGAAGCTCTACCAAGGACAAAAGTGGAGAAAATATAGTGGCAGTTGTATTTGAGTGTTCACGTGCGGGAAGTAGATGTAGCACAGGACAAAATGCTTTGAAGCCTAAAGCTTCAATGCAATTGGATTGCTAAGCTCACCTAAGAGCACGAACAACTTATGTTGGTTTCTGGGAGATTTCTAAAGTGGAACTACAACATAACCATCCTATGAGTTCGACAAAGTCTAGAATATATCGGTGCTATAGGCAGGTGACATAACAAATGAAGAGAAAATTAGCAATTAATGATGTTGCGGGGATACCACTTTATAAGAGCTTCAACTCGGCCGTTGTGGAAGTGGGTGGATATGATGAGATTCATTTTATATAAAAGGATTGTCGGAACTACATAGACAAAGTTCGCCAACTTAGGCTAGGAAGTGGCGATGCAATGGCTATCCAACAATTTTTTGGTAAAATGAAAGCTCAATGCCCATGTTTTTTCTTTACCGTTGACTTAGATGAGGAGTCACGGTTGAGGAATGTTTTCTAGGCCGACAACCGGTGTAGGTATGCTTATAAAGATTTCGGGGATGTAATCACTTTTGACACAACATATCTTACAAATCGCTATGACATGCCATTTGCCCCCTTTGTGGGCGTTAATCATCATGGTTAGTCAATGTTGCTTGGTTGTGGATTAATCTCAAATGAAGATACACAAACTTTTGTATGGCTCTTTAAAGCGTGGCTTGATTGTATGCATGGGTGTGCTCCAAAGGGGATTATAACAGACCAAGACCGTGCGATGCAAAATGCAATTCAAATTGTCTTCCCAAATACGAGACACCGTTGGTGTTTATGGCATATAATGAAGAAGCTCCCAGAAAAAATGGGAGGTCTGACAGATAAAGATCTTATAATGTACAATATACATGACTTAGTCTATGACTCACAACACCCTTCTGAGTTTGAAGATGGCTGGAAAGCTATGCTGGAAAGGTACATATCTGTACAATTTTGTCTGTGGTGTGTATGATGCAATGCCTGTGTAGTGTCTATGTTGTCTGTTAAATATAAAACATTTGTCTGTGCAATATATCATCAGTTGTCTGTTTAGTGTATAAATTTTCTGGTCTAATAGGTTTTCACTTGAAAATTATGAATGGCTTGGGGTGATGTTCAATGAAAGACATCATTGGGTGCCATGTTACTTGAAGCCAACATTTTGGGCAGGCATGTCTACCACGCAACGAAGTGAAAGCATTAACGCTTTCTTTGATGATTATGTTAATTCTAAAATAAGTCTAAAGCATTTTGTGGAGCAATATGGCAGGGTGTTGAGGTGTAAAATGGAAAAAGAGTTCCATGCAGATGCGCATTCATTCACTAAAATGATACCATGTGTCACGATTTTTGCAGTGGGAAAAAAATGCAAGGCCTATACACGCTAGCCAAATTCAAGGAGTTTCAGAGTGAAGTAATTGGGAAGATGTATTGTGACCTACTACATTGCGAGAATGGTAAAACATATAATGTGAGAGAGTATAGAGTCGTGAATGGGTTTGGGAAAACTACAGACTTCATAGTTGAGTTTGATATATCAACTACTATAGGAGTATGTAGTTGCCACTTGTTTGAGTTTCGGGGCATTGTATGTAGACATTTAATTGTAGTACTACTTCGAAATGAAGTGCAACTCTTGCCCGAATTCTACATAATGACGAGATGGAGAAAGGACATCAAAAGAGCCTACAAACGGGTAAAAATCAATTACGATGGCTGGGTGAGCACAATAGAACAACAAAGGTTTGACAAGTTGTGTACAACCTTTGAAAGCCTTGCAAATACTATTGCGGATGATGAGGAGAAGTGCAAGAGTGTTATGCTATGGCTGGAAAAGCAACTAACGAAATATAAGGGCTCATGTGTTCAAACTTCCATTGGTGGTGTCATGACACCATTGCCCATAATGGAATCTACTTTGGCCCCGGAGCATACACAACCAATTCGTGATCCCAAATGTGCTAAACGGAAGGGTGCTCCAAGGAAAAATCGTCAAAAGGGCCCACTGGAGAAGTCAAAAAAGAAAGCGAAGGTACGGTCACACGTTGTCTGTAGACAGACACAATATTGTCCATATTTAGAGTTTTTCATTATTGTCTGTGTACTTTCAAATTATTGAGTGCACAGACAAATATTGATTTATGTACTATGTTGTTATATATATGTACTGATTTGTGCAAAAAACGCTCCGCCTTCTCTCTACATCCTCTCTCTCTAGCTTGCCTTCACTCACCTCCTCAACCTTTCGGACGGAAACCCTAGGGTTTCCTCCGCCGCAACGATGGCATCTCACTCAGATGGGGATCCGCCTCCACTTACGCGATCCTGGGCGGGAGTAGTTACCGGTTCTACATCAGGGAAACCTACTCAACCAACCATCCCAGATCCCTCTCTGGACTTGATCGTCGGAAAACACCGCGGTTTCATAGTGGTGAAAATTCCAAAGAAAAGGTCAGATCTCCTTGCTCATGATCTTCGATTCTCTCTCGTTGGTAAGTTCGCTAAAGGTAGACCCTCAATGGAAATCATTCGTAAATTCTTTGAATCTCTAAAGTTTCACTCTATTAACGTTGGTCTCCTTTACGAGAAAGAGATTATAATCTCATTCTCCAACATGGATGACTACATTAGATGTAGATCCAGGAACCCGTGGATTATTTCAGGCAAAACGATGACCATCACCAAATGGTATCCTAGATACCACCCGGACAAGGAATCATCCTTTGTCCCGTGCTGGATAAACTTCCCCCATTTGCCCTTCCATCTCTTCAATGAATCATTTCTGTTTAAACTTTGCTCTACCTTTGCCCAACCTCTCAGATGTGACCGACCTACTATAGCAAAAAACAGGCCATCAAAATTGAAGAGCATCTGCCCTTATATTGCAAAAGATGTTTTAAATTTGGTCACCAAGACCCACACTGCCCCTTACAGAGTAAAATTTCCCCTGATAAGACCCTTGTGCCCAAAAATTCTGAGATTTTGGTAACTAACACCTTTTCTCAAGATGCAGGAACTATTGATACTAACAAGGATCTTCCCAAATGGCAGAGAAAAGGGAAAGAAAAAGTTACTTTGGGTGTTTCCTTCAACAACCCCCCTGTCAATCCCATACCAAAACCCCATCCCCTCCCCCCCCCCCATTCCCCCTCCCAATCCACCTCTACCACACCCCTCCCCCCATCCCTCCCCCCACATCCCTCCCCTCCCATATCCTTCCCTCAGAGCACACAAATGTCCAACAGATTGCCCCAGTCACAGGGGACAACAATGATAATCTTGAGTTGCTCCCTAAGGCCCTTCCTGGTGATGATGACAACCCCTCTGAACCAACACCTCAGCAAGGTAATGGAGACTCCAATGGGATGTCTCCCCTTGCTGAGGAGCAAACCCATATTGCCAAATCGCATGAGAAACCCTCATCACTTTCTACCTCCAACATCTTTGCATCTCTATCTGATTCAGAATACATTTAGGATTCTGAAAACATCCCTCAAATGGAGACCCCCCTCTCTGAACCAGACCACCAAACCCTTAAATCTTTACCCCCCCTAACCTCAACCCAAAAGGCCCAACTGCAGACACCACACACCTCCAAAAGAACCACCAGGAGCTCAACCTCCAAAAACATCAAAGACTCCACTACCACCCAAACTTCCAATGATTAAAGCTATCATATGGAATGCTCAAGGGATCTCTAACAAAGATACCCAAAGCAGACTCTCCACTCTTAATAATTCCCACTCTCCCAATATCATTGCCATCCTTGAACCGATGGGGCACCCTCACCATATTTCCACCCTTCAAAATATCACTCAACTTCATAATCACCACTGCCAGTCCTTTAATAAAGCTGATCACCCTAACCTTAATTATGTGATTTATCTCTCCTTTATATATGCTAGCTGCGACAGAATGAATAGATTAGCCCTTTGGGATGATTTAACTACTTTTCACAACTCCATTGGTAATCACCCTTGGCTTCTGGGGGGTGATTTTAACACCATAAGAGATATTGCTGAATACAAAGGTAAATCGACTCCTAATCCCACTTCCATTTTTTATTTCAATTCTTTTATTAACAACAACGAGCTTTTTGATGTTCCTCTTGTTGGGGGGAATTACACTTGGATGGGAAAACGCTCTGGTGGCACTGTTTTTAAAAAACTGGATAGGGTCCTAATTAACCAAAATCTTTTCCATGGTGATAGAATTATTACTTGCACCAAACTGTCCTTTATATCTTCTGACCACACTCCTCTTCTCCTTCAAATTAAACCTCAATCCTCCCTCCCCCACCCCACCGCCTTTAGATATCAGAATATGTGGGCCAATCATAAAGATTTTTCTTCTATTATTCAAGAATCTTGGTCTCAAACTTGTGAGGGATATGGCATGTATCTTTTCTCTCAAAAATTGAAAAGGCTTAAACAGATTTTAAAGGTTTGGAACCAGAAAACTTTTGGCAACATTTTCCAAAACCTTACTAAAGCTGAAGAAGATCTGTCCCTTAAAGAGAAGAATCTTATTTCCTTAGATAATCTGGAATATCAAAACGCTTTTAAAAAAAGCTCAGGCTGAATTTATCCTTAAACAAAAAGACATCTTTACTTTT